GCAGCATTTCTATTCATTTGTCTCCCAGGTGATTTCTTTACTCTTGTCTCCCAGATTCAACGCCTGCACTGCTGGTGTCCGCCCTTTTCCGCTGGCCAGGCTGCATTTCTATTCGTCTGTCTCCCAGTCTCCCAGGTGATTTCTTTACTTTTGTTTCCCAGATTCGGCGCCTGCACTGCTGGTGTCCGCCCTTTTCCGCTGGCCATGCGGCACTTCTATTCAATTTGTCTCCCAGGTGGTTGTTTATTTTTGTCTCCCTGATATCTGTGCTTATGTGCCTGCACTGCTGTGGTCCGCCCCTTTCCGCTGGCCATGCAGCGTTTCTATTCGTTTGTCTCCCATGTGATTTCCTTACTTTTCTCCTAACAGGTTGCTGTTAGGGGTTCTCAATGTTTTCTAAGAGTGTCCGCCCCTTCTTTTTTGGTCATTGCGTCCGCCTTCTCTCCCTTCTGTCTCCCTTGGTCTCCGGTCTTGCCTCCCTTCTTGTTGGTCACTGTGTCCGCCTTGTCTCTTGTCTGGCTTCTTGTTGGTCATTGTGTCCACTTTGTCTCCCTCCTGTCTTCCTTTGTCTCGGGTCTTGTCTCCCTTCTTGTTGGTCACTGTGTCCGGCTTGTCTCCCTTCTGTCTCCTGCAAGACCGGAGACAAGAGGGGGGCCCAATGACCAACAAGAACCCTTTACATGTGTCCCCGCTCTGGACTGCGGTGTCCACCTCTGCCTCCCAATCCTCCCAGCTCTGGGCTGCTGTGTCTGCCTCTGCCTTGCAATCCTTTGCATGTGTCTTCCAGCTCTGGACTGCTCTCTCCGCCTCTCGCTTGCAACCCTTTCCATGTCTCTCGGCTGCCTTGCAATCCTTTGCACTTGTCTCCCAGCTCTGGACTGCTGTGTCCGCCTTTGCCTTCCAATCCTTTACGTTTGTCACCCAGCTCTGGGCTGCTGTCTCCGCCTCTCGGTTGCATTCCTTTGCCTCTCGCTTGCAATCCTTTACATTTGTCTCCCAGCTTGTTGCCGTGTCCGTCTGGGCTGCGCCTTGCAATCCGTAACATGTGCCTCCCAACTCTGGACTCCTGTCTCCGCCTCTTGCTTGCAACCCTTCACATTTGTCTCCCAGCTCTGGCCTGCATGTCCTTTACATGTGTCTCCCAGCTCTGGGCTGCTGTGTCCGCCTTTGGCTTGCAATCCTTTACACTTGTCTCCCAGCTCTGGGCTGTTGTGTCCGCCTCTGCCTTGCAATCCTTAATTTTACATGTGTCTCCCAGCTCTGACTGCTGTGTGCAGTCCTTTGCATTTGTCTCCCAGCTCTAGACTGCTGTATCCACCTCTGCCTTGCAATCCTTAATTTTACACGTGTCTCCCAGCTCTCGACTGCTATTTCCGCCTCTTCCTTGCATCCTTTGTCTCCCAGCTCTGGACGTCGCAAACTCTAGTTGCAGAGTGTTCCGCTTGAAAAACACAAACTGTTTGGGGTCTACGGTGGTGTAATTTATTGTTATTCGGACCTGAGGCGACATTCCGAAAAGATCAGAATCTGGAATTGGTTCAGAATGTACAAGAACTTTTGACATGTCGGGAAACACGTGTTTTTTTCTCCAAAGTCAGTGAAAACAATCATGCACGCCACGCCACTCAATACTTTCAGGTGGGGCCATGTTCTGCCCAGTGCTCTCAACCTGCTTGGCCGAGGCTTCTCACGCAAGCTGCTTCCACTTGTCCAAACGCCCAGCTCTCTTTTGGAACTTCACGTCGTCCTCTTCCATCGACATTTGCTTGATCTCCTCATTCCACCTGATGCCATTGTTGAACATCACATAAAGCAACTTAAAACAACTTATATTTATATAAACCAGTTTGTTTACTTCTTTTTTTTCCAGAGCACGTTTATTCCGTCATACCTTTATAGAGTGGCGTGCATTGCTGGATTTGCCATTTGCAGTCTGCAGTCTGTAACATGGGGGTGCACAGCTCGACTTACATGGTCCTAGAATGTCCTAGACCATTTTATACAAAGCTGAAATACCTATAGGATATTCTAGGGATTTCTGGGCAAGTCAAGTTCAGGGGATTCTAGGAGTATTCGGGAAAATCTGGAAAACATGTTTGGAACGATAAGAAGGATTTGGATAATCGGATAATCAAGGGAAATCCATGGAAGTCCCATTTCAAAGGCATACAATTGTGTGCAGCCCTCATGGAGCCTGTGCTTAGATTATGTGTTGAGTACATTTGAGGCATCTAGAGATTTACATAGAGACCCCATTTGATTATTTTGGAATTCCTTGGATCCTTTTTCAATTAAAGACTCTTAAAGTAGAAAGCAAATCTTATTTTCAGAGCACGTTTATCCGATTAAGTCTCTGTAAAATGGCGCCCTTCAAAGATTATAACACATTGATTTTGCTCGATGCAAATTTTTGTGGACATTATCATGAGCCTGGGTACCACCATTCTATAGACCCTTTTTGCTAAGTCCTGTGGAAATTAACCCTTGTCAAAATCTATCCTGGGTACCCCCATTCTATATAAGTGTGCTTTTGTGGAATGAGCCCTGGGGAAATCATTTTATATATAGAGGGTGCCTACCCCAAAAAATCGAAAACCTATAGAATTGGGGTACCCAGGGCCCACGGTAGAGGTTGAATTCCAAGGAGCATCTCTTGACACTTCTGAGTCTAAGGAACGTGCCAAACTGC